TCATCGTATTTCTGTGTTACATAGTCTCTAGCGTTCTGTGAATCAATTAATTCTTTATCGATTTTTTGTAATATCTCGTATTTTAATTCGTCCAACTTCGTTTCTAATCCCAATCCGAGTATATTTGACGCTTTCGTATCCAAATCGATTTCTGGACTGATTTTTTCTAACACTTTCACATGACACGCCATTATATTATTAGTTATCTGCACGTTATAATTTTAGTTGACCCAATGATATCATTTTTTCTTAAAGCATTTTTATTATACTCGACAATTTAGATTTTTAATTACCATATGTCATTAGATTACATTAATCAGTTTTTGACATTTGTATGTTTTCTTTTTAACTGTCAAAAGTTGTGTATACTGCCTGTGTTTTATTTAAGCATACTTGATTTTTAGTTCACCTTTTGGAAATTGGAACAAGAAAAATTCCGTCCACTCTCATCTTTATATATATAATTCTTCTGTGAGTGTATATGTCACTGAACTTCTCTCAAACGACTGGACCGATTTTGATGAAATTTTTTGTGTGTGTTCAAGGGGATCTGGGAATAGTTTAGATTCACAATTTTCATCAAATATTAACTTCATATTAATTTATTCAAATTAAAGACGTGTAGACAGGACAACGTCTGTCGGGTCCGCTAGTACTATATAAAGAGCTGAAGCCAGCAGTGTAAGAATGTTTAGATGGATGGATGTTTGTTAGAAAGTATCTCTAGCACGGCTGCGTGGATCTCGCTGAAATTTGGCATAGATGTAGAACATAGTCTTGGACAACACATAGGGTACTAAGTTTTTTTATAATTACCCGCGGACGGAGTTGCGGGCGAAAGCTAGTACTGTAAAAATTTATCGCTATTTTTTTAAATGAAGATTTTGTAATATCGGCAGTGGAAACCTACAAAAAGAAAAATTGAATATTGGTATAATAAATACAGGAAATCTTTTAACATATAACAAGTGGTATAGCTACCTTTGATAAGATCACACAAGTGCAATGATTGCGTCTTATCTTGACCGATATCTAAGATTTATTGCAAAAATACTGAAAAAAAAGCAAGTAACATAGAATCTTACTAATATAAATGCTAAAGTTTAGATGGATGGAAATATTTAGAAGGAATCTCCGAAACGGCTCAACGAATCTTGATAAAATTTGGCATAGATGTAGAACATAGTCTGGAAGAACACATAGACTACTTATTTTTTTAATAGCGGACACTCGGAGAATATTCATATAATGATTTTAATATCGTATTGCGTTCACTGTTATTTAAACTGTCCCAAGTATAAACCTATTTCTTTACAAAAGTATCATCAAACAATATACACTTCTGTAGTTCTTCTGGCGTTGCGGATGTCTGTGGGCATCGGATCAAATAATTTAAGCGATTCGTTGCTCGTTTGCCCCCTTTTCTTATAAAAAAATAAACTAGCCTTCAAAGCAGTTCGAAGATTATTTGCATGGAAGCAAGTAAAATTAAAGAATTTTTTTACATCTTTTTATGATCCATAGAAATGTTTTAGAAGCAAATGTATCATACAGATTCGATTATCGAATTTGTTACTTAACATTCTGTTAAGTTGTAACTTGATAATTAAGCATTTAAGTATGTAAAACATGTCGACTAGAAGTGACTTAGTATTGGAATATTTGCTTAATCACTCGTTAACTTTCCACAATTCAAAGTAAATGCTGATGTCAACATTTCAAGTGGCCCATCCTGCTTTTTTCATACTATTAGTTTATAACGCGGCGTCACCTGCTTTACATATATATAACTTATACATCCCCACTGAGGGGCTCGGAGCCTACCTTAAATCAGGGGTACCTTTATCTTACCTTACTAATATTATAAATGCGAATGTTTAGATGGATGGACGTTTCTTCTTCTTCTTGAGGTGCCTCTCCGACTAGCGAAGGTTGGCGATCAGTTCTCCATATTTTCCTTTGTCTTTTGCGAGGCGAAAAAGTTGGGCGGCACTCGCAAGGATGGACGTTTGTTTGAAGGTATCTCTGGAACGGCTGAACGGATTTTAATGAAATTAGGCATAGATGTAGAACATAATCTGGAATAACACATAGGCATTATTATGTTTCTTTTACTCCGCGCGGACGCAATCGCAGGCGATCTCTAGTTACAAGTGTTTTAAGTTGTTCAATGCAAACAGACATACAAGTATTTTATATATATAATTCGTTAAGGGCGCTACATGATAAACGATGTTAAGTAGTTGTAAATGCAATATGCATTTTGATTCTATCACATATCTGCTATACGTGCAAGTGAACAAACCGTTGCAGTGTATCGCGTTATTTTTCTTAATTTATTGAAGACTATAAAGTTTTATATTGTGCCGGAAAGAATTAATTTAATTGTAAGTATGCAGTAAAGTTTTTAAATATTTTTTTTATTTAATGTTTTTAATTATATTATTTATTCGTAATTTAAAATTAATTATACCTTACCTTTTACGGCTGATCTTCGTTCTGAATGTTGCAATAACTATTTTTTTTTCTGTCGTTTAACACGTTAGTTAATGATTTAAATATGTTGTTAATATGAATTAGCTTGAATGTCAAATTATTGTATTAAAGTAACTACGACAAAAAACCTCTCGTAATGCTTTCGTTTTGCTTGAAGAAAACTTTCGTAACTATTTGATTTTCGCGCCATTATGTGAAAAAAACAATATATAAATTGATTTATCTTCTGTCATTAACAGTTAATATTTTGTTGTACGTAATCGATATGTCGGACATTGATTATGTTATCATTTGTTCACAGCCCGCGACGGTGTCACCATCAACCCAACCACAGAGGAAATAGATGTAAGTTTTTTTTTTCTAAGATACACGTCGCCATATGCAACCTTTTTAGACACTGGCTGGTTAGTTTATCCAAAAAGTTTCTATATTTAGTACTTAAGTAACTAGTAATACAATAAATCGTTTGTTTACTTTTATTAAATTTAACGAAAGTAGCGTTTACATAAGAAATATAAACTAGAAGAATTAATAAAATATTTTCAACTAATCGATAATTTCGCATAGTTAATAAATAAGTATTAATTCATTTTCTATGTCAATAAGATTTTATTTTTCTGCATTGTTATAGCAAACAAACAGCCATAAATCAATTAAGATTTAACGAATGACTTTTCTTGCGATAATTATTTGTGTTTACATATTATATTACATTTTGATAATTTGATGATTCTTACGGTGATGGAAAACAACCTGCACATATCTGAGAAGAAATTCTAAAAAATATGTGTGAAGTCAACCAACCCGCACTTGGCCAGCGTGGTTAACTATGGCCTAATCACCCTTAACTTAGGGTTGGCTCCGAGCCCGTCAGTGGGGACGTATAGTGAGCTGATGATGATGATAATTTGATGCCAATCAAAAATCGTCATATGGGAAAAATTAACAACTTTCTTTTGTTTTCCCTTTCATTCGTTTCATTCAAAAAGTAAAAACTGGATGACATATATTTTTAAAGCTAATCCTTTGTGATTTAAAAACGACAATAGAATGAAATAACTTGAAAAAAAAAATATTCTCTAAGTACCAGCCAGTACGATAAATTGATACGCCCCCACTCAGAGCTGTTGCGCGTAACTTTTTCCGCGCGCAATTAAAAAAAAATAACTAAGTCTATGAGCTACATATATCTGACAGAAATCAACTTCTGTGGAAAACAAAACACATCAAAACTTTCGAATTAATAATATTACAAAGGTTTAATATGAAATGCGTTACGACAAAGTTGAATACATACAAACTATTATATTTTTCAATATATAAATATTAGATTTCCTATAATAGTAATCGTAAATAAATAATTTAAATACACAACTTGTAACCTGTGTCATTTATGTCAATAAGGTTATGTAAATTCCCGCCAATTTGTAATAAATATATTGCTAATACATTATTTGTTCTTAACATCTTAGAGCAATTGCTAATTAAATAAGTTCGTCATAATACAGATGAGTAACATTTACTTTATGACTTAGCGATCGCCTGCAACTTCGTCAGCGCAGAATTAAAAAAAAGTGGTCTATTAAATTCCCGCGTGCATCAATTCCTTTTAAAATCGGGTCCACCCATTCCGGAGATTACCCGAAACAAACAAACGGACAGACATACAAACAGATATATAAAAATTGATTTTTTGTTAATTATTTATTAATAATTCAAAATAAAACTTAAACGGAAACAGAAGACTGTGGATAGTTAGTTAACGGCTATCTGGCTTCACCAAAATAGCGAAGTAACTGTTGCCCAGGCATCTTCAAAGACATGAAAGGTTATGCGTTAGGTTATTAAAAGGACGGGCCGCGGACGAGAGCGAAAGCGTGCCCGTGGCCCCGTCCCGATGCGTCAGAGGGCAGTCAGGTTTTAGTGGGTATTCTGGTCACCTTCTGTGGCCGGCGAGTCCCACACTCCCTACGCCATTGCACCGCCCGGCGTAGGCGTGCGTAAATGCATTTCCTGACTATAAAAAAAAAAAAAAAAAAAGGTTATTAAAAGGACAGAGGAAAGGACATGCAGAAAGAGGATATCTTTCCTATTTATACAACCCAAATTAAATACAAAGTATTAATACTTCTTACTAATATTATAAATGCGAATGTTAGGATGGATGTTTGTTTAGAGTTATCTCCAGAACGGCTTCACTGATCTCGCTGAAATTTGGCATACATATAGCACATTAATCTGGAAGAATACATATGCTACTAAGTTTTTTTTTGTAGTTCCGAACGGACGTAGTCGCGTGCGTCAGCTAGTATTGTAATAAACATCGATCTGATCAGATACATATTGACGCAATATTTTTTTACTACAGATAAACAAGTGTGGAGAAATCCATGCGCGTTGTTTACACACAGATAATATATTATCTATTTTATTTTTTTCCTACAATAATGTGCTCATTATTGCGTAAAAATAATACTAAATACAATTCTAAGTAAATGTCGACTTTTAATTAAAATAAAAATATTTTTTTTTAAATAAACGAAACACCATGTACATAGAGTATGTAGAGTTATAAAGATAAAATCAATCTTTTAATACTCTTATTAATGAAAAACCTTAAACATAAATTAATTAGGCTCATTGAGTACATAGAAGGAAAAGTTTCAAACGAATGAGACGAGCGACCGAGACGCCCCTTAACCAGGTTTTTCATAGTCCTGGTTAGTCTATATCAGTCTTTCCCAAAGTGGGCAATAACGCCCCCTTGTGGGCGCTGCATGTCTCAAGTTGCGGGCTATAGTAAAAGTTTCGTTTAGAACTCTCCTTTAATATAAATACATATATAGGTCACAATAATTAATTAATTTAATTTGAAATTATAGTGGTTTTTAAATATGTGAAAATATGGGGGCGCTAAAAAAATATTTATTCTCAAAGTGGGTAGTTGACAAAATAAGTTTGGGAACTGGTCTATACTATACTACTGCGTAGCTAAATTACATTGCTCAAAATTCTGTAGACGGTTTCATACGAAAAATGTCTGCCCAATTTTATCGTAGTATAACTTTTTAATTTTTTTGCCGTGTCTAAATTTTCTTAAGTCTTCATTGATACTATTAACAGTAAAATATAATACCCAGTTAACATACTGGTTATATTAATAAATATTTTTCTCAGTTTATTGCTAATATTTACATTAATAAATATTAAAAGTAAATAAATGTATGAAATCGAATAACAAAACAAAATGGCGGGAGTTTGTTTTTTATTACTACTTTTGTTGTTTTGTTAATTATTATGTGGCAATTGTAATTCATATTTGTTGCTTAATTGTAGAAAAAAGATTTATCTTACTAATATTATAAATGCGATTGTTTAGATGGATGGATGGATGTTTAAACAACTCCGGAACGTCTACAAAGATCTGGCATAAATGTAGAACATAGTCTGAAATAACTCATAGGCATGCTTATTAAGTTTGTATTTAATTCTGCGCTGACGGAGTCGCGGGCGACTGTTAGTATTATAATACCTTGACCTAAGAAAATATAAAACATCGCCATACTGCGGAAAAATATGGAACTAACTCTTTGCGCATATTAGGAAGTAATTAAAGTGCGATTCCAGCGCCACCAAGCCAGTATTTGTACACTCTTGTTTATGTTATAAATTAACGCACAAACAGTGTAGCTTTTAACAGTGGTAGAGCCCGCTTTAACATATTCGCACGAATTGGCCCGGCTCGCTCGGTGAAATACCACGACCACAGACACGACCACGAAGACAGGCGTCAAGTGGAAGCAATTCCACGTTTCGTCTGATGAGTGTGCGTCCCGGAGACCTTATTTAGTCCTCCTTCCCTTCCCATCCTTTTTCTTATAAGGAAAGGATAGGAAGTGGAAGCGGACTTTCCGGATGAGAGGATGCACGGGAAGGGAAAATATTTTCTTTCTGAGCATCCTCTCCTCCGTCGATTAAAGGTAGGCAACGCGTATGCAATTGCGTGTGTCTATGGGCAACGGTCACTTCGCTATTTTAGCGATTTCAGGTGGCCGTACGCTCGTTTGCCACCTTATTATATAAAAAAGTCACGTAAATTAATAGCATATTTCAACAATAAATAGATTTACAGTAATATGATAAAGAATTAAATTCAATATATTTTAATAAAATAAAATAAATTATATTTACATTCTTACAGTAATTAAATGACTAATTAATTAAACTACCAAAATAATACTATAAACTATATACTAAAACTAAACCAAACTAAAAATAAAACAAAATAATATAAAAAATCGACCCCAAATCGCTGCGGTCGCACGGTAGGGTTCCCAAGAGGCTGGCGGCATTTCCCCGTTGGATGGCCAGGCTCAACCTTTGGCCGAAATGCGCGCCAGCCCTTGGATCCCCTGAGGCGTCGATGAGGCGTGCGGAAATCTCCTTAAACAGGCGACGGGCTTCCGCACCCCAAGGCCCCAAGGTCTCCACAGCAAAAGGCGCAAATATATACGGATTTGCCAACGCCGCATATTTACGCCTTTTATTGATTTCGGCTGTCGCCGCAATAATTAATTGATAACCTTATAATATGTAGATTTGTAATAATTTGACATTGACTTTGTCGATTATCTAAAGATAAAAACAATTTATTAAAATATAATGTTTAACATAATTGTCTGGCGAAAATATGATAGCATATCTTTGTTAGAATTAAGGCGCCTTTAACTTTACATAACCTTAAAAATTTCCTTTATGGTAGCAAAAAGCAAATGTCTTTATATTCTTGATTAGACTAGATATATAATTAACGTTCATCATCAGCTATACATCCCCACCGAGGGCCTCGGAGCCTACACTAAATTAAGGGCGATTAGGCCATAGTCAACCACGCTGGCCAAGTGCAGGTTGACTTCACACATATCTTTGAATCTCTTCTCAGATATGTGCAGCATTACGATGTTTTCCTTCACCGTAAGAACGTCGGATAAATGTACATATGTAAATTGGAAATCGAAAAACATTGGTACATGGCAGGATTCGAACCCAGGACCTGCAGATTGCAAGTACTTGACTCCTAAGCCACCGAAGCTCTAAATCTATCTATCTAAATTAACGTTAATTTTATATAATGTATTACAAATATGTAAACACTTGATATAAGTGTTACCCTTGACTACCACTAACAATCCAACTAGTCCCCGATTTGATACAGTTAATGGATGGAATTTACCATTTTCAAGTATTATTACCACTTAAAAGGGAATTTACATAGTTATAAAACAACTTAATTCCCAACCTCTTATATATTTTTATCATATTGTGAAATGCTTCACTTAATGTCA